AGAAACATATGAGTCATAATAATACACATAAAAAAGCTCCTTAATGGTAGATGTACTCAGAATTTTCGTACTATTAAATGCATTAGTATATAAAAAAACTTAGAGTTTTATTATGTTAAACATACTCGATATAGACACAAATATGTTGTATACCTTTAGGCAGAATTTACAAAAATGAGAAAATTGTAAATACATTTATAATATACTATTATTTATATAGTAATAAAAAAATTATAAATTATTATGAGTACATACACTTTTTTTGTATTGTATTGTATTTTATTATTATCCATATTCCTACAGTTGGTCTTAGAACACCTAAAAATGTCTACATCCGGTCATGAATAATGTTACTATATTATTTTTATATTCAAAATTTAAAACCTTTATCATTACATTATTACTATATTCACTTTCTAAAACGGGAAAACGTATTGAAAACTCGTTTTAAGTTGTATTATTTATTTAAAATAAAAAGACTACTTGTTTTGATTTGTTGTTTTGTATCTTGTTCAAACAGTTACAGTCATACACCTATGTCCTAAATAAGAACATATTCGAAAACAAAAACAACATCTTTTATCATTGACCTAGTTATATCATTTGAAGTCTCCAACGTTAAAACGGTTTTGATTATTATTATATTTTGGGTCCATGCATTTTTTACTTGAGCAATTAAAATTGTAGGGCAATTGTCAGTATTCCGAATTAAGTTTTATAAATGTATAGAAAAAAAACTAGTACAGTGGGGTCGGGGCATAGTGGGGACAGAGCATAGTTGTGTCGGGGACGGGGAGTTCACAGGTTTACAGGAATTTTTTAATTTGAAAGTTATAAAATCACTTTCGAAAAAAACGCTTCGATGCAAATCGGTAGTTAGTATTTTCAAGCCAGTACAGTCCAAACCAAGCACAGTATAAACCAGCAAAGTTAGAAAGTATTAAATTGAGGTACTGTATTTACAAATAAACATCAAAGCGTTAATTTTAAAGTGATTTTATCCGAGAGGACTAGTACAGTAGAGTATAGGCATAATGGAATCAAAGCAATGAGGGGACGGAGAGGTCACAGGTCTACAGGAATTATTATAAATAAAAGTGATAAAATTGAAGAAAATCACCCCCATTTTAATAGCTTTTCTCCCCTTGTGAATATCCGTCGATAGCCATACTTAAGGTCAGGTTACTATTTGTTTTACGGACTATTACAGGCAGTAGTCGTACAATAATACACAATCTATGTGCGCAAATGGTATGTTAATAGTGTAATCCGATTCGACAACATTTTCAAGTTTCGACGATTTGCTATGACCTTCGGATTTTCAACGTGTAAAAAGTTACACTAAGATGTGCAAAATAAAACAACAAAAAAAATTGCAAATTCAAACATCGACAATTTTATACATTGTTTTTGTCGTTAGATCGACGTTTTTTTCGGCCTAAAATGTATGAATATTTATCGATGAAAAAAAAAATGTACTCAGACATCCTCATGTGTGCACAAGTGCCGAAATTTTATGTTTTTTTGAAAATATTTTCGATTTATTATAACCTTAGCGTATGTGTTGTCAACCAAATCGCAAATGGAAAAACCGAAATTTTGACAACCCCCCATCGCCCTGCGAGAAATGTTGACATATTTTTGGCGCTTTTTTAAGATTTAAGAACTGATAATTAGTCTGAAGATAGGTCTAACAAACAACATAAAACATCAGTGTAGTGTATTTATGAATAGGACGTTTACATTTTTGTTTTTTAATTCTGTAATTCGATTAAACATTTTTTTTTTGTAGATCAAAGTAGAACAACGAATGATACAAATTTTGGTTATATATTTTATTAAATCACATATCCATCTTAAGTAAGAGGAGTCCAATCATAGTCATCGTGTTGATAATAAAGAATAAAGTCAGCCGTGTGGTGTCAAAATAATATTTATCGAAAAATATAAGAAAAACAGTAAACTCAGACTCGCACTTTGGTCATACAATTGTAATTACAGCCATACGGTTTTGGGTAAAATTTTGAAAACGTTTACTCGTTTTTGTTATTATACCATCTCTAGCACGCAGTAGTAATGTTTATAACGTTTTTTTTTCTCATTTAATATTATTTCCCTAGCAAATAGGTATGAAAATTGTGCTAAAAAAATTGTGTTTTCGTGTAAACGCTTAGGCAAGAATTCGATAAACAAATCATATTTTTAAATATTCGTTTGCTTTTGGACTCGGTGTCACTTTTCAATTACGTGCGCCGATTTGCGAAAATTTACAAAAACTTTTCTAACAATAAATTGAAATAATTTACAAATCGCATTGGCCTAAAATGAAACCACTGATTTGTTGAAATTAAATATTTTAATATTGAGTAGAATACAAATCAATGAGCGTTTTTAAAATTGATAGATCTATTTTATAACTTCGACGTGGAGCAACGATGCTGTTGGTTTTTGCAATGATGTGAGCTTTTTTTTGTATCTGTATACATTGTAACTTTTTTAATACTGGACCAATTCTTTTGAGTGGCAACTCTACAAATCACAAAATGTATCTTCTTGGTATTGAGACGGATCGATTTGAAATTGAAGTTTCAACATTTACTGACTCTAATTTTTATTTTTATTTAATAAATAAAAGATCAGGGTATGGTATATTATTCTTGAAAACTAATTTGTCCAAAACATTATTGCATTTTTTTATATATTCTACGGCTGTTTTTTTTTGGGTACACCGAGATGCAAAAGTCAAACTACGGTAGCATACACATGTGTTTTGCGTATATTTGATTAAGCCAAGGTTAGGCGACATAAGGTGTTAACACCAACGGTAAAAAAAAAAATATAGTAGATAGTAAACCTATGTAAAAAAGTGTTTTACAGAAAAATACTTCAAACATTATAATATTTGCAAAACATCCATGATGTTCAACCTATTTCACCTTACTTCCATTTAAAGTATAAACCACGTTTTCTCGAAAAATAAAATGCACATTAACCATTATAACAATTTATTAAAACTCATTTTCTTCATAGCAATAGTATAAGTGATTTAGTAATTAAATAAGCCGTTGTCCAATTATACTGTTTAAATAGTGTACCTATATATACAGGGTGACTGGTTAATTATGCCCCAATCAATATTGTAAAAAATGAAATACTTTTAGCTTCGATGGAGAGCGGCAAAGGTGTTGGTTTTACTCTGATGTGGGCTTTTTTTTTATCTGTATACACTGTAACTTTTTGAGTACTGGACCAATTCCATCGAGTAGCAACTCTATAATTAACAAATTTCATATAGTTGGTACTTGGGGGGGGGGGTAATAATTGAAGAAGTTTACTTCTTCACAGTCGAAATTTGAAAAAAACAAAAGAAAAAACGTACGAGTTTTTAAGTTAGAACTTTTACTGGCTATATTTCAAGAAAAATAATCGGATCGAGTTGAAATTTATAAGGAATATTTATTTGGTATGCCCGCACACGTCAAATGTATCAAATTTAAATTAAACCCATTTCGCAGTCCCCCCGAAAAGGGGGTACAAGTTTTTTTGTATTTTGGGGGTTTCAGCCGTAATTTTAAGACCTTTAAGTTGAAAATTTGCGAGTAGCTAGAACTCATATGTATCCATAATATATTAAACGGAAAAAAAATTCGACACTACAGTTTTTCATTAATTTTCGAAGAACTATGTTTTCGCAGATGCGTATATTTTAACAAAAACCCCTAAAATGTTTAAAAAAAATGTAACTATAAATACTTAGTGTGAGCTTGCTCTAATGAAAGTATATATATACATACACATTAATTATATTGAGAATAAGCAATTAAATTTAAACTGTCGAGTACAAATAATTTAAACATGAATCGGGAGGTGCTGTATTTACAAAAAAGGATCAAAGCGTTTATTTGAAAGTGATTTTCTTCACTTTTATCACTTTTTTTTATAATAATTCCTGTAGACCTGTGACCTCTCCGTCCCCTCGTTGCATTGATTCCATTATGCCTATACTCTACTGTACTAGCCCTCTCGGATAAAATCACTTTTTTACCCAATGTGATCTCAATTTTCCACAATTTTTTTTGTTTTTGAATTGCCTTTATTTAAAAAGACATTGAGTGTGTTATCCTCTGTAAATTAACCGTAAAACGTGGAAATAAAAGTTTCAACAACCACTTTAGTAGTATACGTAACCATAATCGAAGGTTCAATTATATCGACACAATACATTTACAGATGAGAGTACTAATCAAAAATAATGATTTATTTCATTTAGTTAAAACAAATATATTACGGTTTAATTACTAAACAATTTAGCAGTAGCTACATAGTATCAAATATTTTGTATAATATTGTTTATTAATAATCAAAAATCTATTTCCATTTATTTAATACTAATATATAATATGGTGTGAATAAACATTATAATATTATGTTGTACAAATAAACAACTTAAAGAAACACACATTTTTTTAATTATCTAATTCCCATAAAATGTTTGTAAACAATGTAAAAACCCAAACTTATTCTATTATAGTTTTTTTTTTTAATTCCAATGGCCAATACAATCGGAGCTTTAACACAAAAATACATTTTTATTCACATATCAAAATATTATTGTAATATCTATATTTTTATCTTATCTTCATTGGCAGTTTCCAATTTTTTTAAGCGGTTATAACTCTCAGAAGACTCGACCACAGCGAACGAATTAAATGCTTTAAAACTAATCGCTGGGACCGTTCTTGTCAAGTGTTCTACGTACTTGACTAACACCTCGGCGCCAATTAGACTCTCTCTTACTGAAGGTAGGGTTATTGAACACTTAAGCTCTTCAGGACCAGGAAAGCCATGTTTAGAAACGATACCTAGCACATTTTTCAGAGTGCAAGTGTTGTTTTTACCTTTTACGTCGATCGACGTAGCAACGTTACAACCGATGTGTGTCAATGATATCTGCAAATAAATTACATACCCATTGACAACAGTGCGATCAAGGTACTCACCTTTCAGCTTTTGAATTGCCTGGCGCAAGTATTCGTCGTTGGTAATCTCGAAACGTGCAGCAAACTTTTCCAAATAACCAATCATTTTGTCATTGCACGGCTTCATATTACGTCCAAACACAAATCGTCTTATTGTTTCGTCATCCCATTCCATGATGTTCGAAAAGTATCTCAATATCAAACGAATAGCGACCACCTTCATCGAGCGCACAAATGTTTGCTCAAATTTTATCAGATTATTGATTCGTACGTACAGAGGTTTGTTAAGGTTTTTCCCGAGTTCGTAATATACACCGAGTTGGTCCGCTACTGGATTCAAGTCCAGCTGAATACCAAATTTTTCAAAATCTGTAATATTGTCATTGTTGTACTCCAATAGACGTTTCATGAGCAAATTGTCTAAGAAATTATGCTTAATATCAGGTCGGTGATTAAATCTGTAGTCTTTTCTGCAATTATGTTCAGACTGTTTATTAAACATTTGCCTGTTTTGCTGTACCCGTTCTAGTAAACTGATAATATTATCTCTTTCGTCTAAAACTTTAGCCGAAACCTTTTTTCTTTTGACTAAACTTACAACGTCGGATACTTTGTCTTTAGAAAGCGGATCAAACATTTCGCAAGTCTGTGTTTTTATAAAATCTCCGAGCAGTTGAACTGCGACGTCGTGAGTTTTCAATATGTGATTTTTGGTTGCTTGTGAAAGGGACTCGAAAGAGGTTGGCGAAAAAAATGTTTGTTCCAGTTCGCAGTACACGAGTAATATCCACATAACATCTGTGATGGGATGTCGGCTATCTTCGTGCCCATCGTTCAACAAAACTGTTAATATCTGATTGACTTCGTTTGTGAATGTAAGATATTCTATTTCGGTAGCTTTTAACAATTTTCGATAATTCACGTTCACCAAAAATTGCTTTGTTAAATGCAAATGGACGGTAGCAGTTATCACGTAGTTGCAATAAAATTCTTTGTAAAATTGTTTTCTGTAGCCATCTAGAGTTGAACGCATATTAGATAGTGACGAAATAGGGGCGCTATAACCTCCTCGATCCATAGTTTTAGCCCATTCGACAAAATCGTCTTCCGGCTGGCCGGAATGAGAGAACTTAATAAGAGTGTAAAAAGTGAAAAGCCATACAAAGTACTTCATATGAAAGAGCGCCATAGTACCTAGTCGGTTTGAAAAAGTGAATAAACTGTTTTCGTTCACAGTGTATACAACTCATAACGTGACTATGTATCTCGACCTAAAAAAACAACAGCTGCGTTAACGTGTAAAAAACCGAGTGAGCCGTGGAAATTACTCACAATAGTTATGTGTAAACATCTTATAACGGGGTCTACCTGAAATTAACTTTAAAAAGAGCAGAACTTATCATGTGCATGAACATTATTGAGATACGATTAATATTATTTTATATATTTGATACTGTCGGTTTATGATAACTATAATACGATACATAAACACGAGACTGTAAGCTGTTCAATTTTCGCTGAACAACAATATACTATAACTGAATATCTATAATCTATCTCTTCGCTAAACTCGTCTCGGTCACTCAATAGAACTCGTGGCTCCTCTGCAGAAAAAAAAAGACTCATTAACCTTAACGCCATAATATTTATATAGTGGAGTGTCAATTAGATGGCTGAGCCAATCTTTTACTGCGCGTTTCCGGACAAACCCTATTAGATAACTTAAACGGTGAATTTTCTTTTTCTTGCTGTGAACGTTGATACTCTAATCATCATCCAGCTCACGAGGCAGCAGGTCGACTATTGTATTTACTTATACTGGCACGTTGATTATTTTTCCAAGAACCCCGTATTGGCCATTTCCATGACGAAGCCTTCTGATTGTCGTAAACGGAAGTCTTGGCGAGACCAATCGCTCGGTGATTAAATCCAAGTCAGACAGATGTGGTGGTCGCAATGGATACATAAAACCATTCGACTTAAATAAAGTCGGTATTTTTAGCTTTTTAAGTGTGGCATAATAGTACTACATACAAGAGATGATTCGGTGTTAATACCAAGAAATTCACATAAAATAATATCTTTTGAACAATGTGGAGGTTTTTTTAAATCGTTATCATACCACAATGACATAATCTATCACATACACTACATACAGCACCAAAGTTATTGTTTAAGAACCTCGATTTAAATTGAGCGTGAGCTTTGGAATGTATATAATATTCATCATATGAGGCGACAGTGATATAGCTCTCTGAATTATTTTTGTCTCTCCGCATTCGTTTTAGACATAGCTAAAATGTTATAAAAGGTGTTCTTTTGTGTGAAACGGGATCGAAATCCAAGTTATTTATTATCTATTGGTTATTTGTGGAACGATCTAGTTTTCCAATGTTTGGTTTTCTAATCAACTTACTTACTTACTGTATAAAATATGAAATTTATACTAGATAATTAAAAAATGATTTTTCTCACTACTCTCTTGAGAGTCATGGTGTATGAACACTGCACTCGTAGATGGTACTTGGTACAAGATGGTATAAGCTGGTTCCAGTCTTATTTTTTTGGCCTTATGGCGCTATTCGTATTTGTTTTGTTGTTCCGCTTATGTGTCAGGCATAGCTTAAATGTTACAAAAATATGTTTAAGATGAATCGGAATCGAACTCCAGTTTATTTATTTTATGTTACGGCCTAAATATATAAATATACCTATTTTTTTATTTAAATAGCAATGATAATATGTAGTTGTTAATTATTTAAATTTAATCACACAAAGAAATAACATGAAAGAAAAGCGAGAAAAAACTAAAAAAAAGTTTTCGGATTAAACGGATTGCAACTCCGGTCTGTGAGCGTCTCTTACTGTTCTGCGTTACGCGCTCGTCGATGCATCTAATTTAGTTAAATGGATACAATTTTATTTGTTAAGCACAATATATCAATTATAATCAACGGCAACAATTTTTTTTGGTTTTTTTCGGCATAAATGTTTTTTTTTCTAATTTTTTTATCTATTTATATCATCACTGTTTATTCAAATTTCATTTATAATTTTGTATTAAATAATTACCTAATCATTTTTTGTTACGGACTATAAAATATACAATATACATATTATAAAATATTATATTAAGTATATCACCTAATTCTAATTTTCTATTCTATTTTACTTATTTATTTTATTTAATTAAAATAACAAAATTGTATCGATATAGATTGAAGCCCGTCTTTTGAATAATACAGAGGTACCGTCAAAATTGGTTCAGCGTAATTTTTTAGTATATTTTACATTGCCATTTCTTCACAACCTGTTGCAAATTAATCACATCTGTCACACCAATATCTGTGTTGTTTCCGTGAAAAAATTATCACTCAACATTATACATGTAGTTCCTAAAATGTTCAAAGTAGGTATAATAATATACTCTTATTGTTTTATGTCCAAATTTTTTTTTACCGCTAGCTTGTACTATACACGGAAATAAACAAATAAAACGACCATTCAAGTAGTTAACGCAACTAATTTAAAGGTTATTTACAAAAAAATGTATAGTTGAAAGTGCTAACTAAAATTAATTGTGATATTTTGTACTAGGAGGACGTGGAAAAAAAAGTGGCCATGACCTCAGCTGCACGGAAGTTCATAGGAACATGGATATGTCTTAACAAGTATAACCCTGGTACTTTTTGGCACTTTCTAATATCGTTTTATCTCTAACCACTTACCGCACCTCCAGAATCCAGCTGGACCATCTCTTAATTCTTATCTCTAACCTGCCCTCTCCTCACCTCCGGCAACCAACTGGATCATTTCTAATCCAGTATCTCTATTTTTATCTCTAATCCATTATCTCTTATCTTATATGTATAAGAAGACAAAATAAAATTACCTTTGTTTCCACCAACTTAATTCCAGATCACATAATTGTATGTCAATATGTTACGCAGATGAAATTGAAAAACATAGTTCTGAAATATACAATAAATAGGATTAGTGATTTTGATTGTTTTCATACTATGTTTTGAACCTCTGAACCCATTTCTATTTTTATGTTTACATATTATATATTAACCCCAATCGTATCTACCTAATACTAATAATACAATTTTTAACACATTTTCGACTTTACAATGCTTTTATCCTTGTTTAATACCATCTACAGATTCGCCACCAGGCGTTTATTTAAAAGTAATTTTATCACTTTCAGTTAAAACAATTCCTAAGAACCTGCGTGATCTGACCTATCCCAGTATGCTCAGCCCCACTATTCCTCACAGCGCAGGTATTTTTTATTTTAATAATACCGAACAATTATTCCATGCATAATAGGTATCTTATTACTTTTAACGCTGTCATTCGCATGGTTTTTATGTATTAAATATACATGACACGTCAAATCATTTATATGCAATATGCATACAGTGTGCAGAGCATATCCATTGAACAAAACATAATACCACGTGAATGACTATCATAAACCAAAGGAATTAAAAACAGTCCCCATCGTAAACCATAAATATAGTTATTTTAGTGAACCAAGTGCAAAGTATGAAGAAATGCAAGGAATTGTACTTAAGTGTATGGAGTTTTCATGCAAATGAAATATTAATAATGGCACGAATGTTTTCATTCTACAAATTGTTGTTTTTATAATATAATAGGCCTTCCGTATAACACCGTGACGATTATTTTATTTAATTAAATTACAAACACATCGCTGCTCTCATTAAAATTTGCATTTACACCTGTACAAAATAATTACAACGGGTCGAGTATTTTGTAATAACACCTTTACTGGACAATAAAATTAAATAAGAATTTAAATTTGTTACCACATAACAATGATTATACCAAATAAATAATGAAGCTTTAATTAAAATATGTAGCCCTTTTTTTTAATAATAAAGATAATACAATTACACCGGCGGCATAATAATTTATAATGAGGTTTTTTTTTCATTTTTGGACTTGTTATAATATGTATTGCCATTATTGTATGACAACTGACAAGTAACAACCTATGCGAGGAAGGTGGTCAATCGTTAGTTAAATTTGATGTACAATAAGCGTTTATGTAAACATCATTCAAGCGTTTCTTTTGTCTATCTGATATTAAATAATTTCAAGTGAAAATTAAATCAGTCATTATGGTAAAAATGATAATTAAAAATCATAAATGCTGATTTCAATTTGTTTGAGTTATAAGCCTTTATGAAAATAACAACTATTATATCATACGTATTAAACAATAATTATGTATAACAAGACACGTCTACTATCTACCCAATTAACCAAAATAAAACTTGCATTTATAAATTGAGTTAACTCAATGGTTCGACTTAATATTATGTTGTGTACATATTATAATTTTATATACATTTGCTTAATCGAATTCTCCGAAGGTCAATTATTATATTAACTTGCAATCTTAAATGCGCTCATAAATCCGCTGTAAAGAAGTTTATCTATGTTGTTGAGAGTATGATTTTTTTCACGAACAAGTTATTTTAGCATTATCAACGGTTTCTTTTTTACAGCTTCCAGATTTCACCATCCGGCATTTGCGTGCATCAGTCCGTAATCCCTTAAACCTAAAAAGTCCACCACTATACGCATTCTTATTTTTTTTTTTTTTGCCGGATATTACGTCGGATAGGGAAGATTTAAAACCAATTTTTACAGAGGTTTCCTCGGTGAAAGCCTAAAGAATTAGTTTAAGTAATTGCCTTCTCTGTGTATTTTTTTTTTTTACCGTTTAACGTGGAAGCCATTGATGACTATATTATTACAATTACTGCCGAGTAAATTATTATAGTATATTCAATATTCAAGAAGGCCTAGAATTTGTATAAACTAGAATTTTAGCAATGAATACAGACTGATTCGGGCAGACGGGTTTGATTTGTAAGGTAAGGATTTACAGCTACCCCCCTAAACGCTGATTAAATAATGGCGTTTTTCTATACTAGGAGATATAATCATTATAATGTAGTATTTTTAATGCGAAACGTGTTTACCATTTTGGGGACATAAAAATGCTGCGTGACTAATAAACGAAAAACTTATCCTTTCATCGTTTATATTACAGTCGGAGTTGATTAAGCGAGAGTTACTAGCGATAATTAGACATGCTTTAAATTTTGGCTTTCTTAGGCTTTTCGTACTTCCACGAAGTTATATCTGTCTACGTCGAGCCAACACTGTCTTCGAGTCGCCTTGCTCTGGTCAGTAGTTGTTCCATTG